CAATTTTTATATAATTAATATTAAATTTATTTATTTTTATTATTTTTTTTTTTGGTATTTAGGTGATCTCTTTGGCCTAAGAACTTTTTATTAGAGAACTGATAGCAGTCTTATAATGTAGTTACAACAATGGTATATCAAGCTATACATGTACCTTTTGAGTGCCTAATTTAAGTAGCCTGAAGATTCTACACTATCTGCCATACTGCACCTCAATTATGGGGGTATCCATTTAAACTATCTGGTTACAACTACCTACCATTGCCCATCTAACCCAGGGTATTCCTTACTATATGTAAGTGAATTTTGATATCTACCCCATATAGATTTCGCACTCTACCTTAGGACTTACTAACCACAATTTGGATTTATCAATCTCTATTTTAAAACTAACTAACCATATATGGCTAATCTATTCTCGAGATAAACCTAACAGAGTAGTACATGTCCCACATATGTATTTATCTGCATGTTTCTATAACTTCTTCCTTGTGTCATAGTAAAATACAGTATGCAATAAATATGTATGAATATAAAGGAATAAGCGATCGATTGATCAATGACTTGTATATGTGATGCATATAATTGATCAGGAATTATGAGATTAAGTAAAGATCAATTATGCAATTAAAGTAGTATACATGAAATATGAATTAATTTATGAGTAATATAAGAGTCAAACGATTGATGATTGTATATAAACAAATTATGATATAAGTAGTGTGACTCGAAGTATATATATATATAAAAGCGAATGTAATAGTTAGTCTGAGTTAGTTAGTTTAGATAGTTTCGCTCTTGTAATAAATAAATTAAACCCTTAATAAATAAAGTTCATTTGAGAAATAAAGTAAACACTTGCCTTGCTGAGTTTGTTTGCATAGTGCCTAATTAATAGTGCCTACCATTTGGGTTAGATTTTTCTTTGATAAAAGTCATTGTTTAACTTGTAACATAAGAACCTGGGCAAATTACTAGCCTATCTTGCAATGAATTGGTATTAATAGCCCACAAGATAAATCTAATGTTCATTTATATGAAAATGGAAGAAGAGGAAGATATGTGTATTAAGAATATAAACAAAAATGATGGATTGATGCGGCAAAGTGTAGATAATAACAAAGATAAAGAGATGGCTAGAAGAGATGAAAATGTGATTAGCAAAAATGTTAGTAACAATAAAAGCAAAGCATTTAAAGAAGATCCGAAGCCTGCTGCACCAAATCGTGATATAAGTTTAATCGACATATTTTGGAGTAATATCGAGAGTGGCAATTTTAATCAAGTTGGATTAGAGAAGAAAAACGCTGAAAAAAGTGATATTGAAAGTAATGAGTCAATTGGTGAGGTGGATGATCGAGGATTGGATGACTTGGAAGCTAAAGTTAACTAGTTGTTGTTGGATATGAAGAATGGCGATGTGAATCTGCAGATATCTAATATGATAATAGGATATATGGAGCATCAAAAGTAGAAACCAAGGAATTTGACAATTTTTTAAAAATTAACCTGTTTAACTAATCAGGTGTAAAATTTAAAGCCCAATCTTTTTTACTTAATAATGAAAGTCTAATCACTTAATAAATTTTTGCGATACAATAGTTAAAAGCTTTTGACGCATAATCTAAAAATAGATTTATCATTGCAAATATTAGTACAATAGTAATCTACAGATCTAATAATTCTGTTTAAACAGGTTTGTTAATATTAAATAAACTATTTTTAAATTGTTTTGATTTTGTGTAACAAAATAGTTTTTGCTGATTTTCTCAAAACTCATGATTGGCCAAATTCTCTGGTTTTTACTTTTGATGCCCATATTATGTTGGTTATTGTGATCAGGAAGAAATGACTAATAATAAAAAGGATGAACATAAGAAATTTAAAAAGAATAAACATAAGAAATTTGTTTGTTGCCAAGAAAATGAGATAAATAGTGATGAAATAGAATTTATCAAAGAAATAAAAGTCAACAATCTAATAGATTTTAATGAATTCGATTAGATGAACGAAAGGAAACCAAAAAACATAGTTGATGCGTTTATTGAAAATGATTTGATTGACTTTAGATGTGTTGAAGAGGAGGTGATTAAGAATGATGAAGTGAAGGATGATGCTAAAAAAGTAGTTAGTATCAGACATTGTGACCAGGATAAAGTTGAAGTCGAAAATGATAATAATGGGAATAAAGCTCCTGATGGTAAAGCTAAAACTATTAGAAGTGAAATAGGAAATGTTTAAGGAATATATAATGAATTCTATAATAAATCGAGTAAAGATGTGGTTCTAGAATTGGAAAAGATAGTAAAAGACTTGCTGAAAGAGTTAATAGATGATAACTTTGATGAATTCGATTGTGGTGTAGATTTATCCAAATGGTATTGGCATACAAACTTTAGAGATCTTGATGATAGAATTGTTGGATAGTACCAGAAGCCCGCTGCAAATAACAATTCGAATATACAAAGTGTATTCAATCAAGGAAAAGGATCGTTGGTGAAAAGTAATGGTAAAAGTAAGTATAGTGATGTGTATGATGTTTTTATAAAAAGTATACAAAAGGAGATGAAAACTTCAGAGACAAAGTTCCTGGGGCTCTAGCTTGTGTCATGATAAAATACAGTATGCAATAAACATGTATAAATATAAGGGAATAAGTGATCGATTGATTAATGACTTGTGTACATAATGCATATGATCGATCAGAAATTATGAGATCAAGTAAAGATCAATTATGCAATTAAAGTAGTATGCATGAAATATAAAGTAATTTATGAGTAATATAAAAGTCAAACAATTGTATGATTGTATATGAACGAATTATAATATAAGTAGTATAACCCAAAGTATATATATATGTAAAAGTGAATGTAATAGTTAGTCTGAGTTAGTTAGTTTAGATAGTTTCGCTCTTGTAAAACCCTTAATAAAAAGTTTATTTGAGAAATAAAGTAAACACTTGTCTTGCTGAGTTTGTTTGTGTAATGCCTAATTAATAGTACCTCTATCCGGATTAAGGTTTTCTTTGACAAAAGTCATTGATTAACTCATAACACTAGTTAGTATATATTGATCTGGCATTCCATATTAGTATCTTATGCCACTTTTTGGGGTGCTGCCTTTCTACAAATGTTTCTCAAGCACCAACCTTTCTAACTAAACACCTATTACATACTTATTGCCCTTATTTGGTTCATAACAACTCCGATACTCACATTTGGACCATCTTCTTACCCGGATTCTTTATTGGTTCCTTCCTTACTTCTAGCTAGCAACTCAGAAGGGTCAGTCTGCCTAGGCTTTAGGTGCTTAAAGGATATCCCCTCCTTGGTTTATACTTTCGAAGCATATACCCTTTTCCTCCAGTGTGATGACCTAGCAGTTCAGCCAGTGTGTCCTCTGCCAGCAGACCTGGTTGCTCAGTTCTCCAATCTTGGGCTCCGGTTCGAATTCAGCTCTCTTGTGATACCATTAAAGATCACTGCTACCTCCAAATTTGGAACTTGCCAAATAGGTTTTCAGTTATACTAGTTCCTCGAATTTATTGCGCCAAAACTCCCATTACTAGATAGTGTGACCAATATGATTGAAGTTACAGATTTAGTTCTAAATCCAATTGATAAGCATAGCCATTAACCGAACACAGGTTTATTTTTCAAATATCATCACCAGTGGAATTTAAACTCTAGACCTGCCACTTGGAGAAAGTAACGACTAGACCACTACACTAAGTCACTACATCAATTAATATTAAATTTAAATTATTATACAATCTATAATTTAAATAGTTTTTTACAAATATCTTGTGATCTAATTATTTAATTTTAATAATTTTGGTATCATTTTATCAAGATAAATCAAATATTGCCAAAATTGCTAAATTTTAATTAGATATTAAAATATTATTATTTTAATAATTTGTATATAAATTTTTATAATAATAATAGTTTAATATTTAATAATTAAAATCTAGCAATTTTGGTACCATTTGATTTCCTACTATTATAAAATGATGCCTATATGCAAATGTCCTCTTTAACTATCTGATTGGACAAACTTGCATATATGTGCATAAATTAATAAATCAAAAAAAGATTAAACTGGAATTATGACTTTGTATAAATTGAAGAAATGATAAACAAATTGCTCCTGTGATTTATGTAAAGTGAAGCAAATTATGAGCGAATTGTACGCATGACCAGTGTTTAAAATTTGATGTTCTTAGTGTTCTCAGAGAACATTTAACATTTTTATGAATATGAATTACTGGAAATTGTTCTCTATTTGAGAACATTTAACAAAATTTTTTAATATTAAAAAATTTTTGATTTCCTAATACTAAGAATATTAAAAAATTTTTGAAAACATTAAAATTTTAAAAAATGTTTTTTTGAGAACATAAAATCAATTTTGAATTTTAAACACTGCGTATGACTTTGCATAAAGTGAAGCAATGATGAGCGAATTGCAAATTTGTATAAAATGAAGCAATGATGAGCGAATTAGTCTGACTTTGTATAAAATGAAGAATGCTTAGCAAACAAATTTCACATAATCAAAAGTGAATTTATGATATAGAAAAAATACATTTCAATTTTTCAATTTCAATATGTTCTATATGTTCTGATTAAATAAAGAATACAAAAAGACTAAATCTTTTATTAAATCAATTAAAGGTTTTCTCTAAAATTTTCACGTTAAATAAAAAAAATTTTATATATATAAAAAATTAATTTGCATGAAATACTTTTATATAACCACACGATATAACTATACAAAGAACATAACTATTAAATAATTAAAAATTAACGAATATACGAAATTATCGATTAGAAAATCTTCAGAATATTTACTTTTAACAAATATATAAAATTATCGATTAGAAAATCTTCAGAATATTTACTTTACTTTTTCTACTTTGTTTACAATATAAAAAAATAATAATTTATAACAAATAAAATATAAAGAATTCATAAAGTATTTCTAAAATAAACAAGTTATACAATATGCATTATTGAAAATTTTAAACTTTAATGAAAATTAAAATATCATGTATTTATTTCAACAAAATGCAAATGACAAAAAAAAAAAATGCTTAAAATAACAAACTCAAAACAATAAATCAAAATGACAAATTTAAGATTTAAATAAATGAAAAAAAAGAAAAAAAAAAGAAAACTATTTGGTTTCAGTTTTGTTTTAGTAGCACTTGCAGAAGAATCATATAATCTCAAAGTACTACACAAGAATCTACCAATACGTTCTTTCCCCTTTTCACAGCGACAGATCCAGGATGTAGGTGAGATTTTCTGGGTCATGTGATTAATCGATCTCTGATCTTATCTTGGAATCACGTAACCATGTTGGCTCTTTTCTGTTACACGAATTAACATAACAAAAATAAATATACAGATCTTTTTTTT